TGGATTCAAATTCCCTTTTATCCTGTCTCCGTTTCTTAAGTCTCGTCTCCCTCTTGCTAGAAATTTTTTTTTTTTTTTAAAAAAAAGGTTTTTATTTCCATCATTTCAGGGGGTGTTTCATGCAAGAGGCACCATGACATGAAATATGCATGATTTAGGCGATTATACAAAAAGCTACTCTGTTTTGTGCTTTTAGTGCATGGTGCCTTCGTTCAAGCAGAGGCTTCAAACTGCTGTTTTTCTGTCAAATGAGGATGCATTGGTTTGGTGCCATTTCATTTGACTGTGTTGTTTTCGGAGTATATTAACAAATAAATATTATCCAAACCGCCATTCATCAGATCTCCGTAGAGCGTAGACAAGCACTAAAAATCTCAGATTTGAATGATGGGATCCTCATGTGCGACATTGCTTTGCTCCCTGTGGTGTTTGGAAACGTGAATCAAATTATTGAGACTTTGTGCCTTTGGTTGACCAAAAGCTGTAGAGATTAAAGAAGATGACAAAAGAAAAGCTTCCTTTAAATCTCAAAGACTCCTTTACGACCGGAGAAAGGGAGGATGATGATGTAGAATGGGCAAGATAAACTGAAAGCCACAGATCAAATTTGTTTCCCTTTTTGTTTTTGTTTGGTTTCTTGCGATTAATTGAATTGAAGCCTTGGATGTTTAGAACACATTTCTTTTTTTAATTTGTTTTGTTTTCCAGTATTTCTGAGTTAAAATTTAACGTCAATCTGTCGTGCATGTATCTCCATCCATATCCCTTGAAATAAGGATAACGCTCATCGCCTCCAAAATATCTCCGTAAGCTTGTTAATCATTAACAGTTCTCCTTTTTATTCACTGTAGGGTGTCCAGTTTGTAAATTTTAGGATTGCAAATACGGTGAAAATTTTATTTTTGGAAATTTTAGGGAACATAATTAATACATTTTTTAATCACCATTTATCACACCTCAAAAAAGAATATGTTATTTTCTATAAAACAAAACACCCCAAAAGTCCATTTCAAACGGACATTTAAGTTTTTGGGAATTCAATTGAGTTTTGGTCCAATGGTCAGGATGAGTCTTTCAGAATTCTCTTATGAATTAGATTACAAAAAAGTCTTGTACTTCCTACTTCCTTTGTTCAAGAAATTTAGAGAGAACTTTTTTTTTTATCCCTTTTTTCAAAAAAAGAGACTTACTTGAGAGACTTTCTTTGTTCAAAAAATCTGGAGAGTGGGGATCTATAGTTTGGCATTAGGAGAACATGACAATTAAGAGAACTTCTTTGAGAGAATTCCTTCGTTAAAAAAAAAAATCCAGCCAGAGAGTAGAGATCTAATCTGGTAGTAGGAGAACACGACAATTGAAAGAAAATTCAGAAAGACTTCTTCCTTTGATCAAAAAATCCAAAGAGCGGAGATCTGGTCTGACAGTAGGAGAACGTGACAATTAAGAGAATTCATTCGTTCAAAAATTCAAAAAAAATGGGGATTTGGTCTGGTAGTTCGTTTGAAAAATGGGGATCTGGTCTAACAAATGATAGAACATGCTAACAATTTAGGCAGTAGGAGAATATAACAAGCCTACTTAGGCATCCCCGAATCCGCATACAAGCCTAGTTTGGCAGTAGAAGAACATGACAATTAAGCGTACTCGGTGTGTATTACGTAACTACTACAGATACAATTTAATTGCAACGGATCTTCTGTCCCGCACCCTATACCACTTTCTGTCTCATTTTTTATTATATTGCTATTTCTTTTACATAAACATCATGTTTTAATTCTTTTTTTTATTTTCTTAAGATCCAATAAACATCATTTTTTTTTTTTTTTTTTTTAGGCATTAGCATTAGGGGAATGTAACAACGAGTGTACTACATAAAATTACAGGAATCACCCGTAAAATCTGACGGATGCGATCATTCGAGAAGGAGACACGACTGACAGACGTTCTTGAAGATGGTCTCAATGTCATTCCCATGTTAAATTCCTGCACGCTGGCCGCCCGCAGAATTGATGCGCTGCTGATTTTACAGCAACTTTGCCAGACTTGATGATCCCTTTTGTACCTCTTTGTGGAATGCACATTTGAAACCACTACCATTTTCTTCCTACTTTACGGACCCAAGTTGTTGTTTTGGCTAAAGCCAAATATCACTGGAACAGAACCGATGAATGAATATTCAAATGCGGGCAAAACTCCGGAGAGTTGTTGTTTGGATTGATGCTTATTTATAAGATATTAGTTACATACTTGTATTATAAACACATTTTTTAATTAATTTTTTTATTTTTTTAATTACCATTTTATCTCGGATACATTAAATCATAAAATGTGCAACAGTAATGTCGATTAGCAGCATCACCAGTTTATAAGAGGATGATCTCTGGATTCGAACTTTGTAAGCCCGCATCCTCACATCCACAACCGGAATATGGATTCTGGTACCACTCCTGCTGACCTATGCTGCTACTATCAGTACTTACACCTCGCAAACGTGGCGCTTTACATTTTTATTCGCGCTCACGTAATAGTCCAATCTGTTATAACGAAATCCAGGCAAATGCCGAGCAGCCTATCCCTTTGTGGCTGTGATGATATATCATGGTTTGTGGTTGTATGATATAATTTGGGATAATTTCAGATACCTCCCTTGAGATTTTCAGCAATTATAGAGAGCTCCTCTCAAGTTTCAAAAATTACACTTATCTTTATCGCTTTTAAGATTTATGTAACAATATAGATCCAATAGCCTACATTTTTTTTCACAAATATCCTAAAATACACTTCTTCTAGAGAACAAGACAAAATTAAAAAAGGTTTTAATTTTCAACTTATTGTACGTGGCATACTCACTAAAGCAAACAAAATTGAGTGACTCCAACTCATTTTAAAATTCATTACTTGCTAATTCTTGTCTAATACAACTCACTACCACCACTACCAATACTAAACCAAAAAGTACCCCATGTCCCTAAGAACATAATTCATCATTGCTGTACCACTCTTAGAAATAGAGACAAAATTTTACCTTCATAGTAAAACCACAATCAATAGGTAAATAAAAGAGAGAACTAATGAATTTTTTAATTGCTAGACTTTTTTTTGCTTAAAAGACATAATAGTCACTTCTTTATCTTCCAAATCTCAATTTCATTTTTCCCCCCATATCACTGATACCTTTTTCAGCTTCCCCTAGTTTGACAATAAAATCCACAGTCTGCACATTATTAATTTGGTAACTTCAATTGGCTAACATTTATAAAGAGTAAAACTATTTTTTTTTTTAAAAAAAAGAGGGTCTAAAATTTTTATAGTAAAAAAGAGACAGGAGGACAAAAACGTACAGATAAATTTTGAAGATGATAAAAAATTAATAGTGGTTTGGTTGGTAACAATGGAATGCGGTATTTGATGAGAGGAAGAAACAATTGTAGGAGAAAAGAGAGAAGAGTATGAAAGAAGCATGGAGGGAGGAAGGAAGAGATGAAAATTAAAAATTGATGGAAATTGTTCTTTGAGATTATGAAATGGCAAGTAGAATAATAAGACGTATTTTTCAATTTTAAATGTCCCTTTATGAATTAACTATTAAGTGGAGAATGTTTTAATCATTTGATTGGACCAAGGGAGGTCTATGCAATTATTAAAACATAGAGAAAATTGAGTAAAATTATTAGAAACCTCCCTTTTAGTTTTTGTCACTCACCGTCACCGCTGAATCACCGTGACGAAGAATATGCACCACAAATGGGACTACAAAAGTTGATGATAGTTTGTTTTGTTCCTCGCTTTCCCTGGATATCTTTTCGACTTTTTGGAAAGCGGCTTGCATGAATCAACTTTTTCATGCACGGACACTCAACCACGCCACACCGGAAATAGATTTTCCAGGTTTCCTGTTCGAGTCAAAAGTTCAATCAAGAGGAGTCCACCGTATGGAGACAGACGAAAAATACACGCAAAAAAGACTCGGAAGGTAGTAAAATCATTTTTGCAGGATAGGAATGTGTTTCCGCCTTGGCACAAAACAATCCACTCGATGGAGTCATTCCAAAAGGGCTCTAAATTTATTCCTGGTCGGTGCGTTTCCCACTCTCGCACTCGCATATTACTCTTTATGTATGTACTCAGATACGATACGAGATGATTCCGCACTCATATCAAAACCAGGAAGTAGATGATGTTCTTGCAACATAAACTGGGAACCGTTTATGCATGTACACCAACACAGCATGCCAAACATGATTGGGTACGAGGCATCTATAGTACACTCCCAGCAGCACGCGTTACACATCTAATGTTGTTAACGATGGATTCGTCTGGGATCGGTGGTGCGTTGCCAATGCAGGAAGCACAAAGAAAAAGAAACTGCAATGCCACGTACTGCCTCTACGTATCCTCTCTAAAGAAACTAGGCTTATGGGTTTTTTTTTTTTAAAAAAAAAAAAACAGTTCAGATGCGACTTACTGCTCATCATTGCCTGCAGATATTAGAAATTGAAGCATAAACAATGTCGACGTAGAACTCATTCTATATAGTTCTGAAAAATTTACGGCCACTTCTTTTGCCATTTGATCACAGCTGGTACATAATGCATCTTATTCTAAAAAAGACCACAACGAATCTCAGATTGTAAATCCTGAAAAAAAAAAAAAAGCAATTTTGACATTTAAGAATTTCACTCGATGCTTACCAGATTGTATTAAATTCAATCAAGAACCAATTTGGTCATCACATCAGCTATGATCCTTGCTGCAATGATTCATAAACATAGTAGATTAAAAACATGTCACATCGTAACACAGGCTTCCACAATGCCTAAATGAGTAAAATAAAGAAACTAAACCAATCATTTCCCATCTCCGAATGAACTTCCACTCACTAAAGCACTAAAGCAACTCCACAGAATCAGTTAAGCAGCCAATAAAGTAAATGGAACAGACCGGGCAACTAAGTGTAACATTTTTGCCCTTTATATAGCTACCTGAGGCAAGTTCAAACAATAGGCAAGTTTCATAAGTTTATGCTACTCCCCCACACTTAGCTTCCATGATATTGAAGCAGAATTTACAGAATTGCACTAGGTGGCATCAATTGATTTAGAGGATCGCGATAATATATAGAACAACTTAGCTACATTTCAGGACCTCCTTTTGAAGCAACACAATAGCTGAGTAGGGAAGATGGAAACAAAAGGACTTGCTGCAAAGGATATAATTTACAAGCTATTTAACAGGGCGAAGCCCTTTGCTGCTGTAATTTTTTTGCAATTTGGGCTTTCAGGAATGGATATCCTCTCAAAAGTTGCACTCAATGAAGGGATGAGCAATTATGTATTTGTGGTCTACCGCCATGCCATTGCCACGGCTCTTATTGCCCCTTTTGCCATCATACTGGACAAGTCTCTTTCTCTCTCTATCTGCTTGTGAATCCTGCCTTTATTTATGTATAAGCCACTACATGCCTCTAGTTTTATGTCCATGATCAACTACTCCAGTAATAAAATGTACATATCAAATAGCTGAACATACTTTTCAACAGGAAAATAAGGCCGAAGATGAGACTCTCAATATTTGCAAAGATCCTGGTTCTCAGCCTACTCGAGTAAGTCTCGAATCAGATCCTGTTTTCTCAGTATCAATTGTAGAATACTTACTAATGACTTTTATATGGCTCCAATTAACAGACCAGTTATAGACCAGAATCTCTACTTTTTGGGCATGAAATACACCACAGCGACCTTTGCTGCAGCCATGTGCAACATTCTTCCTGCCATAACCTTTCTGATGGCCTGGATCTTCAGGTGAATAATACAGCATTCTTCCAACTTCAATCGGAAACTGTAAAGCTCAAAGTTCATAACAAATAAAGTCTTACATGCATATGTAAACAAGAATGCTAGATGCACATACATGCACACGCAACCGTAAAAGCAAGTAATAACTTTCTTGTAATAAGATAAGTGTTGAATAAGCTCTAAAGTACATTTATGCTAGGCTTGAGAAGGTGAAATTAAAGAGCATTAACAGCCAAGCAAAGATAGTTGGCACTGTTGCCACCGTTGGAGGTGCCATGCTCATGACACTACTTAGAGGACCAGTTATTAAGCTGCCCTGGACAAAAGGAACCACCAGTCCTGAACATCAAAGTGGTGGTATAAATCTTCAAAATTCAATCAAGGGCGGACTCTTTATCACAATTGGATGTTTCGGTTGGTCTTGCTTCATGGTTTTACAAGTAAGAAATGACATGATACAATGTATACAAGAAATTTGTAGTATATCATGATAAGCCAATTTCTTTCCTCTACATTTCTAGGCAATTACACTTCGGGCATATCCAGCTGAGCTCTCTCTCACTGCTTGGATATGCCTACTGGGAACAGCTGAAGGAGCCATACTGGCACTAATAATGGAGAGGGGAAAGGCTGCAGTGTGGTCCATAAACTGGGATACTAAATTTCTTGCAGCTTTATACAGCGTAAGAAAAACATGGCCAAAACAAGCACAAGCCCTTTACTTTTTGGAAAGTGATCGTGTTATACATGTTTATTACCAGTTCCCCTGCAAAAGTGTTACTATTAACTCCAGTTCTTGCATTCCTCCATCCGCATCATTGAGGTTCTAGTAATTCCATTCTCAAAATGTCAGCATATTGGAACCAAACCAGAAGATGTTTTATTGTAACAGGAACCATTGAAAATACAAATGATGAACAAAAAAAATTAAGGAATTGGTCATAAAAGATAAGAAAAGAAAGCTCAGTATCACCAAAAGAGTATATTTGCTATTATAAAACCACTTTGTTCACATTATATGCAACCACTACATAGATGTTTTATGTGCGTAATCAGCTGAGTTTGCATTTCAACCATATGCAGGGTGTTTTCTGCTCTGGACTTGCTTATTATATCCAAGGAGTAGTCATGAAACAAAGAGGCCCTGTTTTTGTGACAGCTTTTAGTCCTTTGAACATGGTTATTGTGGCTGTCTTAAGCTCTTTCATTCTGCATGAGCTAATGGATCTGGGAAGGTAACAATTTACCATCTCACCCGCAAGGAATAACTATGGCTACACAGACACATAGCTAACATCATATTTTGCAGGGTGCTTGGAGCCATTACCATAGTTGTTGGCCTTTATCTTGTTGTATGGGGTAAAAGAAAGGACTATGATTGCCCGTCTATTGAAGGACTTCCAACAGACATTCAAATGATGAGTGCAGATACCAAGTGCAAGGAAAACAATAATCATGAGGTTGTCAACATTAATTCATCCAAAGAAGGAGCTGTCACTGGAGATGAAGTATAATGACAATGGTTCTCAGATTCTATATAGTCATTCTGAAAGTTGCTTTAACTCCATGTGAAACAGTAGACTTCTTTTCTGTACCCCCTGTTCATGATGACTCCAGGGAAAGGTAGAGTATATTCTAATTGTAATGCGACTAAAGCCAGTCTAACATAATGACGGCATATGTGGTGTAGAGTCACTTGACCACTGCAATGTTTTTTAATGTCAATTATCATAAGACATTTACCCCAGATAAGGATATGTGGGTGAGTAATTGACATGTTATATTTCTTGACAAGCATGCATTTGAGGACACCAGTCAGCTTGTGGAATTGTGAACACTCTACATGCTGACAGAACTTGGCATCTAACAATTTTATCCAAGACCATGGCAATTGGGTACTTGAAAATGTGGTATTTGTCCCAGCTTTGTTCTTCAATACCTAGATATGTACCCTAAACATCAACCTCTCTTGTAACATATTTTGAGGAGAAATAGATGTTGAAACTCATAAGAGGGACAAGAAAACATCAAGAAAGGTCACATCAGGAGCTATAGAAACTGTTTACTTTGGCAGGCATAGAACCGCCGATGTAACAGCCCTGCCTATTGAATAATTGAAATCATACCACTTTTTGAGACTTATTCTGAAATAATCTGAATTAATACACCCACCTCATCTTAATTGAGCAGCCAGATCTTAAATACATATGCTAATATCCAAGTTCCAATAGAAAAACTACTGGCCATGTGCGCTTAATTCCTGCCAAACTCTAATGAAGCAGGCTAAGGCAATATAGACCAAAACCACATCAATTTGAGGAGAATCAATCAGTTAAAGCATTTCCAACGTTTGCAATTCAAACAACAATTCTTTTCCCACTACATGTTGTGGGCTAAATAGATTCTTGTGAATTTCAAGTCCAACGCCCAGCATAAAATAGAAAGTAAATAATGTATCCTACACAATGAAAAAATAACAAGTGTATTCTTCCTCATCAAAAGTCAAGATTTAGACATGTCATCATTTTGCCTCTGCAGGACTTTCATTTTTTCCAACTAATGCCCAGTTCATTTGGAATAATGCTATCAAGTTACTGCATTAGATTGAAATCGCATGAAACCCACTTCTTGCAAGTGTGGACACTATGCAACAATGAAACCAGACACTATACTGTACATTTTGTACAAATGTTACAATCCGTTCCATAAGTTTCCTTCAGCATAATTCATCCTATTACAAACAATCAGTTCTATTTTCTGTACTTTCAGTTTATCATCCCGCAAGGCACCTTGTCTATCACCATGAGAATCTACATAATTTTAGCCACTAATAAATTTATGAAGAGCTCTAACTTCAATTCAGTAACAAAATCTCCACAAGCTAGAGGACAAACATAATAACATCTTACACTAATTTTGCCCACTTCAAGATAGTTGTTTTCCTTCCTCTTTTCCGTATATTCTCTGAAGTTCACGTGTTGCAGCTACAAATGATTCTGAAGATAAGGAAATAAAATCAACACGCAACTCATAAGAACATGAGAAAGGCCATGGAATGAACCATAATAATAAGTAAAAAATAATGCATCACCTTTCCAAAGACGAAAGGATTTTTGGTTGATGGGTGACCCAGTAATTGTCTGAATTACATCAAACAACAGATTTTGTGGAGTATTCCTCAACTCTTGAACAATCCCATAAACTGTCTTGCCATTCTCAAAGTATATGTGATTGTTTGGATGTTTAGTTTTAGATCCAGCATGACGCTCAAACTCGTAGGCATTAATCGCCTACAAAACAACATCATAGGTACTTGTAGCAATAAAAGCAGTTACATAATCATGCAAGAATTTAGAAGTTTTGTAGTTTCACTGACCTTGGTATGATTACATGTCTCACAACCACATAGATAACCAGAACCTTTTATGGTGCCCCTAAGTTCTTTCTGTCACGCAATATAAAATGTATAAGTGTCAGAAAAGCCAATTTCAAGCTGAAGTAATGGCGATCAAAGCTTACCTCTCGTGACCACGCAATATACTTCACGGGTACTCCATCTAGTATACCAGTTGACAGCAAACTTCGAACATTAGAAGGGAAATTATTTGGAGGAGGTTTTTTAATTACTTTATGTTCCTCTTTTTTCCTTGAAACAATTTCTTTACTAGTAACTATTTCAGTGGCTTGTGCAAGTGCATCAGCATTCGACTCAACTGACACCTTTCCTTTCACTGTTTCAGATTTTAGAACTGAAGATTGACCCATTAGTAAGTCATAACTGCATATGAGCCTTTCAGAAGCACTCAAATTATCATCATCAGAAATTCCACCAAAAGATATGATCTTACTTTCTCCCTTACCACAATGGTGGGCCAATGACAAATTATTGTCATCAATTGTGTTGTAGCTTTTAGACCCTGACATATGATGATCTTCAGTATTGTTGTAAGAGTGATCTATACATGCAGCTATTTGAGCTTCTTTATCAAAAAGTTGCCCTGTATGGGCAATATTACTAGCATCCATGCTGAAAGGCAGCTCAATTGATTCAACAGCACCATTCATGTTTAAGGAATGACTCACTGCTCCTTCATTTATACCGAAATTTTGGAAACTTAGTGCTCCTGTGTTTTTTCCATCTTTATCTAGAGATGTATTGAGTGATATACTACCATTTTCCTTGTATGCAGGACCTATTGAAGTCCCATCACAGCCATGATGGTTGCCAGGTTGATCCACTGATACGAAATCGTTATCCTCCCTCATGAAGGAAGTTCCAATAGACATCACATTTTTATCTGCTCTACTGAAAGAAAGTCCCATAGAAACAGAATTATCATCTGTGTTAACAAACGCATGAGGCACTGACACATAACCGCTGTCCTCTGTGTCATATGTGTGGCCAAATGAAGGGATGAGATTTTCTGTATCCTTGACTTGGCTGACTTTAACTTTTCTGATACCCCCATAGTTAAGACCTGTCTTAGGATCTTCCAGGGAATTAGATATTGATAAACCAAATGAGAAATCACTTTCAACACAATCCTCAATAACCTTTCGTTTCATACTTATACTTCCCAAGTCAACTGATGGAACATTTCTCTGACCAAAGTTGATAGTCCTTGCAGTCTCAGGGTCAAAAAGCCTTTGTGTGAATTGGTTTGCAACTGAATGGAAAGTGGAAGAATGTCCCCAATGAGAAACATTTGAATTTAGAAAACCAGAGAATGAATTGGAATTTGGAGCTTCAACTGCTTGCTTTTTATTAGGGAACAACTCTGCCTCAGCACTTTCCATAAGCCATTGATGAGAATTTGTTGGCTCAGTTCTTGATGAAGTATTGTAAGCCATCTTGGAATGAATCTGATCTCAAGGATTTTGCTACTTAAAGGCCCAAATTCTGGAAATAGTACTGTTAAGTACAAAATGTAGCTAACTACTTATGATTTTTCCACGAGCCATGATCCCAAAATCCCGGAACTGAAGAGCAAATCAGGTGGAGTATGCTTAGTACTTTCATTCAAAATTTAAAAGATATGACCTCGTGTAAAGGAAAACAGAAATTGCATTCAAAAGCAACAAGTCACAACAATATTTTGAGTCAACAGACAGACTCCACTTTAGACTAACTTAGCTTCAAGAGTGTTCTGACCATAGGAGTAAACTCATCTGGAAAAAGCAGTATAAGATCAAAAGTGCTCTCCCCAAAAGCACCAACCTTCCATTTAATCCTGAGTACTGCATTTTATGCCTCCATAAATTTCTATCAGATGTTCAAATTTCTACATTGCAGGTTTTTGGAAGTTGAAGACTGAACGGAAATGAATTACTCGGATCTTATGCTCTAATCTGTTTACAAAATTTTCCAAAACCATTCTATATACGTTCAAAAGATTACCCAGTCCCCGTTCCCCAGTTTAGAGAAAACGAAAGCGCATCACCCAGCTCTAAGTAGTCAGAGAAACACTTAACCATTCAAAAAATCTTTCACTATCTAACTGAATAATTAGTCAAGTTTGATCAGCAATTTACACAAAGCAATAACTCTATCTACCTAAAAGCTGCAACTTCTTTCAAAATCAGTTAGAAGGCAAATAACAACCAGAAAGACGAATAAAAGACCAGCGTGGATTCCTTTAATATTCTGAAACAAACTGATTAAATCCAAAACACTCAGATATCTTTCATTATTTTTTTTTCTTAGGTAACTAAAAAGGTTTATTAAATATCTGGGAATACTCACAAGCAACAAAAGCGGCACAGTGAGGTACATTACGAGCTACATCATTTAACAATCAGCAAACAAACGCGAACCAACACTATCAGAGCAAAAACTCTACTTAATACGAATATTCCAAAATTTCAATCAAGAGAAAACTCCCAACTGGCAAGGATATCTTCAATCTAACTATAGTACTTTGGCCACATAGCGGAAGTCGTGCAGGTAACACTCTGAGAAACCTTCATATGGAACCAATTGACCTACAATGTCATCATCAATTACTGACGGAATCACAATCCTCTTATTCTCTCCAATAGAACTCTAGGCCACAGCACAGGCACTTGCCATAACAAATAACGGATTCATACTAGTACTACTTTTCACTATCTTCAAGTAAATAACCTCAAGATGAGTTCAAAAAAATTCTCTGTTAACACAATAATAAATCCCAATCGAAGTCCGTCACCATTTTTAAGTAGCTATATCGTCAAGATTATTGGTTCATTCTGGTAATTGAACAAATAAAACAGCCAAAAGAAAACCGTAAAATACGAGAATGACATTCGATTTTTTAATAGCTAAGTAAAATTGAGACTAAAATAATTCAGAAGAGCTACTTACTTTCACAAGGACACTAAAATTCATTCCTCTACATTTTCCCTCTCAGCTGGAATACTAGAGACTAGATATACTGGCTTCAGCTAAGCTCTCTTGAACTATAAATCAATTACGATTTTCCTGTCCAGAAAATAATCAAAATGCTCTCGCAAAGACAAAGAGTGATCATAGTGATAGCATAGTGTAAAAGTAACACTCAACAAGAAACGAATACTCGAGATTGCACAAAAAGTAATGACAAGAACGATATATATATTTGAATACGAACCTGCGGTTGTAGGAGAAAGAAAGATGACAGTAGTAGTTGTCAACGAAATCAACAACTTCTCCGGCTACGAACACGGAACCGGCGAAGTAGGATATCGGCGAGATCTAAGTCATCAGAGCTTGTCATGAACCTGGGGAATGGCGCTGATAATGTGGTGCAGTCGGTCAGCGGAATCGGTGAGTGAGACTTGGATTTTCTCGGTAGACGTGGGGAAAGAACGATTTATCTGGTCCGTTCAATGGACTGTTATGTTATGAGCTCGTCGGGATCAAGAATCAAGCCGCTTCCATGGGAAGATCTTGGATGCACCAGATTATAGCCCGGGGGCTGGGACCTGTGGGACGTGGCTTTTTGAAAGAGCGGGTATGATGTAATCCGAAGTGGGCCCACATTATAAGAGAATTTGCCTT